TATATATATATATATATCTTTTTTCTCTTAACTATTATATATATAATATCATACGAAGGAAATAAAAGAAAGAGAACTTTGAGAATTGAACTAATGACTATTACAATATAAAATCAATGCTCTTTTAACTCTTGTTACGAAGAAATTATGTTCATCCTTCTAGTCACATTCTATATGCGTATAGAGATGCCTCTTTTCCACAAACACACGTATATATTTATCTACACAAAGATTTACATGTTTCGAAAAAAAATTAGTTATCTCGAAAATTTTAAACAATATTACATAAATATAAATTCTCTTTAAGTTACAAAGCACAAACCAAAAAGTATTTAAAAAAAAAAAAAAATTATATTTTGTATATCACATTTGAGTTTTAAATTTATAAAATTTAAAATTATAATATGATGGAAAATTTTTAAATTACTACGTAAAAAATAATAAAATATAATAGAATTGCACAGAAAACCAGCCCCGATGTTTAAGACCCTATATACTAATTCTCTTTTACGATAGAAAAAGTAAAAAAACTAAAAAGTTCTTTTTATATCGAAATAAATTTTTCATCACTTGTGATCAGTTTTTCTCAATAAATACACAAGTAGATACTAAATATACAAGTTAAAGTTATTATATAATTTAATTTTCTTACTCTTTACGATTCGCTACTTATATTTTTTTGTTTACAGAAAAAGAATCAAAAATCAAAATTTTAAAAGTCCTAACAATAAAAACAAAATAATACCCACACACACATAAACATGTATGTATACATAGCAAATTTTGTTTGCCAAACGACATAAAATATTGTTTAAAAAATTTGACTTTTTATAATAAATAAAGATTATCTTTACTAAAAATTTTCAGTATTACAGCACGTAAGATTATACATTATTTCTTATTTTTGACAATAATATTGATACCTCATATGTTTGCTCATATGTTTGCGGTTTTTAGATTTACTCATTTATAAAATATAAAAGATAAATGTACATGTGTGAAATGTTATTATATAATTGTGTTTATAGAAACCTCTAAATATATTTCCACTAAAAATTATTTTTCTCGAAATATGTAATTGAATTAGATAAATATATACATTTCAACTTAAAGAAAGGCATCTAAATCGTTCATTCAATTGTTATCTTACATTCATTATGGCACTGCTAAGGATGACTTTATGAAATATATATATATATATATATATGTATATGTATATATATACTAAAAGGTCTCACCTTTCCTCATTTTATACAATTTTTTTTATCAATATTTTACAATTGGTCATCACTATGTTATCTCACAACTACAAGTGGTTCCTGATAACATTCGTCCTTAAATGAATGCGTAATGATGAGCGAAATAAATGCAATACGGTATGTAAGTATACGACAATAATACGACAATATATATATACATGAAATTTTTCCTTCATTCGTTCCGTTGGGCCGATTAACATTGCTGCTGTTACGCAGCTGACGTGAAAAATTTCATGTTTTGAACATGAATAAAAAAAAAAAAAGCATGAGAAGAATTGCTGTGTTTTTTTACATGAAATTCCACCCTGCCCTTTTTTCGAGAAAAAAAGATTGATTAAAGAAAAGTATTATATTATACTAAAAAGAATAATCGAGATAGTGTGCATTTTAGTTACGTGAATTAAAAATTATTTAATTCGCATTTTTCGGAGCTCTAAATAATGATATAAAGAACAGATAATAAAGAAGAAAATAAATATATTTATATAACAAGAAAAAATATTGGGTAAAAGATTAAAATATAAAAAATAAAATTTAAAAAAGAAAACAAATAAAATAAGTTAAATATTAAATTAACACATCGAAAATTTAAATTATTTATATTAGAATTTCATATTAGAATTTATAAGTTACATATATATATATATATATTTGTGCACGAATATAAAGTTAAGTAAAATAATAATAATAATAATAATAAAACAAATTATTCAAGAAAAATAATTATTAATAGCGTTTGCAATGTTCTTCTACATACAGAATTTTGCAAACATAATTTAGAGAGAGAGAGAGAAATTACCGCTTTAATGAAAAATTTATATACATCTGTAGAAAAGAATGTGAAATGTAAGTGATTGCACTAACGCGCGTCAGAAAATTTCATGTAATTTGCAGCATCATACAAGAAATTTAAATTTAAATCGTAAGAGACTAGTAAATATCCCCAATTACAAGACATGAGCATGTGAAGCTTGCGCTTGCTTTTTGCGTGTGAAAAGTATTAATTGGCCCGTTGGAGAAAAGTTTGTTTGTTTTTTTTTGTTTTTTTGTTTTTTTGTTTTTACAGAAATTTGACGATCGACACTGTGTGAGATGATATACACGGAAATTCTAGTTTCATTCACGCGTAAAAGCGTAAAATATAGTCCAGCAAGATTATTGCATCCCTACAACAATTTCTCCTCAATGATAAGAAAGAGTGATTATGTTTCTTCTTCACAAGTCGCGCGTACCTACTGTGACGAGATGATTTTTTTTTGTTTTGTTTTTTTTTTTTACGAAGATCTCTCGCCGCGAAAAGAACCACGTCGAATATACGTTTTTTTTTTTTTTTATATGTCTTTATCACAAATAAATTTCTACGTTAGAATTGTAGAAAAGAAAGTTCCACAATAACGAACGTGTACTTTTTTTGGGGAGCACTCGTCGGAAACGCCAAATAAAAACTACGACGACGGCGTGTTTATCTCGAATATCGCATACGTATATCGCGACAGACGTTTATAACGCGAACGTTGGCAATTATTATGAAAAGGTATTTGGATCCTATACCTTTTTATAATTGTCTGTGTTCTTGCGTTTTCTGCCCCTCCCCCCCCTTGCTGCCTGCTCGCTACTCACAGGATGATTGGTCGTCGGCTCATTCTCTGTTAAGGCAGGAGTGTCTTTTGGGCTAGTTTGACCAGCTGGAGCAGAAAATCTCTCAACGTATGTCGACCATTTTTCAGACACCGCGACGCCTTCTCTTTCTCTCTCCCTACAGCTGCTATCCATTACTTCGTCGCCTTCTGAATCTAACAACTCCATCGTCATTTTACAGTCTTTCTTGTACTGTAATAAAAGGCGAGGCATAAGACAAGAATTTTATTAGTAAAAGATATTTTTTTTTTTTTAATACACGTAACATTGTGATATTTAAAATGTATAGACCATTTGATTATAAATTTTATTATAAATTATTGGTAATAGCGACATTATATACCGATTATAAAAAATTAATCCTTTGAAGATACTCACTATGTATATCTTGAAGCAGTTTTCATCAGCCATAGCTTTTTCTGCTTTACGTTGATACGACAATTCGGGTCCTAACCTCATGTACGCCGTGGCGCACAATCCACCGGCTCCGTTATTCTCTTTAGGCTGACGTTGTTCCCTTTGGAACAATTCCATACATTGCTGACATATGGAGTCTGTGACTAAGTGCTGCAACTGTTTCGAAAAAAAAATACACGTAGTTTCGGATTATATCTGCGCTCACCTATCCTATCTTTCTCTCGTAAGTTTAATCATAAAATAAAACTGATTATTAAATCTTACTTACTTGTCTCACCGCGTACGTCACAACCTTATCAAGAGTGAAGGCAATGTAAGCATGTATACCAAACATTTCTCGTAACGTGTCCTCGTACGCCGTGCTTTCCATATTACCATCGAGAACATTTTTAATCATGTCGAGAAATGCGGGATAATATTCCTCGATCTCGATCTCACCTGCAAACAAGATAAAAAATAACGCATTGAAAGCAATATTGTAAACATAACGTGCAAAAAAAAAATGGTCGATTATATAAAAAAATCGCTGCTCACTTTTTGGTTTTAATCTCAAAGCCACCGCCGCGCTCTCCTTGCGTTGCTGCTTGTACTTGGACTCCTCTTCGGCAAGAACAACCGCTCTGTCATACATCTTCGTTAATCTCTCGCAGAGTATGTGGTGTAACCTCAGGAATAGGTACCAATTATTGCTGCCCATGAAAAGCGTGTACGCCTCCTCGGGATCGTTCGAGAGAGCGTGTATGGGCACTTTGATGTCGGGATCGGGTTTGACCGTGGTGGAAGACGTGTTTGGTGACACGGGAGCCTTATTCTTGTTTACTTGCAAACCGCAAGGTAACGATTGGGAATTGTTGCACGGCGTCACGCTCATATCTTCCTTTTCGTCTTCGGGAAGAGAAAACATTTGTGTATTTTTTTATATACGCACATTCAAAACACTGAAAAATATTCAAAAACAAAATCTGCGAAATAAGATACTTACCATCTTCGTCCCTCTCGTCGTCGCTAAGTTCTTGTCGGGGATGGAAAAAGAGATCGGGTATAAAATGCTTAAGTAAAAGTTTTATCCTTTGCTTGTCCTCTTTGTGAATAGCGGTTTGCCGTTTGACATGGTGAATTAAGAGGTTAGCGGCGTCGTCCAACACGGATTTGTCTTTGTACGGAAGAACGAGATGCGGACCACTATTTCCCTGACCGTCGCCGTTACCCTCGTCACCTTGTTCGTGTCTCTGCACACAACAGAGTTATATAATTTCATAAGTAAAAAATTTGTCTATATATACACACATATATATATGTATATGTGTAATTGTGTGTGTGTGTATATTTATATGTAAAATTAAAAAAAAAAACACAGTGGCATACTAACTTCGTCGTACAAAGTTTCGATCTCATTGAACAAACTCTTGGACCTCAACGCTTTCACATCGGTCTGTTTGAAGTTCAGGGCCTGATGATCCAGAGACTTCAAGTAGTACTTCTCGTTCTGTTCTCTCCAGATTTTGTTGAATCCTTTTTGCGCCTCCCGCCACTCCTCCTCTTTCGTCTTTAGTCGACGTAGCACGACGGGCACGGCAACCGTGGGACTCTTTTTGAGACCCTCTATAATATCGGGAGCTTTGTCGCCGTATATCCTTCTTATTGCTCGCTGATGAATCGTGGGAGAGCAACCTCCGAGACAATCGTCAAGCTTGAATTTTTGCGCCTCCTCTTGGGACATTCTGCTTATCTTCTTAGAAACACCCTCGAGGACTCTTATGGTCGACGCGTTGGTTTCTATGACAACGTCCAACTCGAAACGCTCGTCTTCGCATCGATATATGGATTCTTCGTAGGTGGTTTTCCTGTGAAACAAACACAAAAATTTTTGCGTTTTCGAAGAAAAAACGAACAAAAAAAAGTTCTTTCTTTTTAGGATAAAAGCGAAACTAAGTTTTTTTTTTTGCTCACCTTGACGTTACGAATGTGCTGTCTTCTGACCAAGTTGGAAACGAGACCCACGTGTCATTGAGAACCTCTTTGCACAGTTGCGTTCTCCCGCTGCATTTTGGTTGAATGTACGACTTGGGCAACGCGCAATAAGACGCTCCTAATCGCTTACACGCCGTGTAATCGATCTCCATTGCCAAATCGCCTTGCGGCCGTTCCTGATGGCTCCGCACAATATTGTTCGGAAATGTTTCCACTCCCAACGCATTTCCCGCGTTCGTCGTTGAGGTAGACGAGTCCGACAAGTACCCAAGAAAATCCTTGAACCATCTTAACAGCTCGGGATAACGACTGAGAAATGGCGTCACCAACTGAATGAGTTCCGTTTTTGATATGATCTCTTGATTGAAAAGTACAAGACATCGAAGGAAGTTCTCGTAAACGTCCTGCGATCTGAGAGCTTTTCGGACCTGATAGGAAAAGAAGCGATCATTTACATCATTTATCTCACGAAACTTTCTCCGCAGAAAAAAAAACAAAACAAAAAACATTGTGTTCTAAATAAAAATATTCCAAAGTTTTATAAAAAAAGACAAAAATTTTTTTTTCAATAACAATTGAAACGTTTGAAAACGTTTTATTCTTCATTAATTTTTCTGTCGCAAAACACCCCGCTCTCTTGGTTCGAAGTTGCCACATTTTCTTTTTATATAAATTCATTTAGATCAACCCTAATTGCAATTAACCCCGAGATCGCACACTCTCTCTGGATTACTTGAATTGATTTATATTAAGATATTTGAGATGCTTGCCTTGTCGAAGAAAGCGTAGTCGTTCAAAGTACCGTACTTTCCAGCCTCTGCGATGGTAACATCACGTATCGAAGCGACTTTAGGCTTCTTGAGAGGCGGTGGCCCGTGTTGTATGTGATGAGAATTGCCCGCCGTTACCGTGGTCGAGAACGAAGGACTTCTCTTCAACTGTCCTGTACTGTGTCCGAACTTCTGACCGCTGTTCATGTCTCTTACGTTCGATCTATCACGCTCCCGTTCTCTCTCCCTATGATCACGACTATCACGTTCCAGTCCGGCCGTACTGCTCGACTCGCGAAGATCCCTCGATATAGTTCCCGAATTGTTGCAAGGTGGTTTTCCAAATCCCGCTCCCCATTTTTTAACAATGCCCGTGTGATCGTTTATGGACGTCGTTTTGTTAGTCTGAAACACGGCAGACTAATACGAATCAGAAGTGATTTATTTTACACAGGATAAACAAATTTTCAATAACAAAAAAGATCAAGTAAGATTTGGAAGAAAAATTTTGATTTTTTTTTTACTGTTCTTTCGCTTATGAATGTATAAACACACTGAGAAAAATAAAATTGTCGAAGTAACAAAATCGTATTTCGATTCAACTATACGCGACGGTCACGGGCTGTCAATTAAACAGCGATTAATGTAAAAAGATATCATGTTTCAACAGATATGACAATTATAGTTTGTATCGAAAGACGTATTCAGTTATTTCAACACACATTTACAGTTTGTTTAAATACTTTAAATATAAACAACACAATATTTTGTCTTCTGTAATAATAAGCACTTTTGATTAGACTAAATATTTAGCACAAATAAATTCAGATTAAATTAACTTAGTATTGCGAATTTAATTTTTTTTTTTTTTTACCAGTATCTTTTATTTGAAATTACCATATATTAAACAGAACAATTTAATGGTAAATTAAATATATTCGTTACCAATATTGTTGATTCAACTTATATGAATTTGTGTTACTTTTTTGATTAGACTAAATATTTAGCACAAATAAATTCAGGTCAAAGTAACTGAGTATTGCGTATTTAATTGTTTTTTTTCTTTTACCAGTATCTTTTATTTGAAATTACCATGTATTACGTTCGACAGAGAACAATTCAATGGTAAATCAAATATATTAATTACCAATATTGTTGATTCAATTTGAATTTGATTCAATATCTGAATTTGTTATTTTTTTCGCCATATAATTGAATTAAAAACACAAATAACAAACAGACTGCCAAAACTAAACGCATTTAACTGAGTTAATAATAGTTTTTGCTCAGTGAACGAAAAGCACATACGAGACAGAATATGATAACAGAATTTATTTACGTGTTGTATAAATACCATCAAACACACATTCGAACTTCTTTTTCTTATATAAGATACACATGATCTTCCGAGATAGATTCGGAAATAAATAAATAAATTTTTTTGGAAATTTTGTTTAAAAGTTCAAATGTGTTCGAATAATTTCTCAAACAATTTTCTACCACTTCGAAAAACAAATTTCTTTTCTGTTTTTGATACAATTGTTCCACTCACCAATGAAGTTTGCTGATTGGTAGCGTCGGGTAAGAACTGTCCAAATTCAGCAAGCAGATCTTCTTGATTTTCAAACAATTTAGCGACTTGGCTGTAAACTTCCGCTTCAGTTAAGTGTTTTGTTCCACCTGTGGCACTTGAACTTGTACCTCCCATGTGGCCGGATTCTTTCAAATTTCGCTGTTCTTTCTGATACGTGTGTAATATCTCTAAGAATCGTTTATATTTATCTGGCTGACCTTGAAAGCGATTCTAAAACACAGCGATACAACAAAATGTTCAACACACGTTCTTCGTGTTTTTATTTTTGTTTTCTTTTGCAACAACGGAATAATCTTACCTTTATTTTGTTTACATAATTTATTGCATGATTAAATTCAACCGGTTGACTTTGTTGCGTTTGTCCGCCAGTCGATACACCGTCCGCTTGGCTTAAAGCCTGACTAACGGCTTGCGCTTGTGCAGTACTAACGTGAGAATTATTGTACACCGGTACTGGCGGTGGAGAAGGCGCATGAACGGTTAAACTGTTAGTCGTAATACTGTTTGCCAAAGTATGATGTATGTTACCCGACCTACGAACATCTCGACATCGATATCTTCTTTCTCGAAAAACAAAACACAAATTTGTGACTAAATAAACAAATCGAAGAAAATACTTACCCTGGTATTATTTGTAAAACCGGAGGAGCTTTTGCGGGTTGTGTAGGCGGGCTGGCCACAGGTGGTGAACCAACGTTTACTGTACAATGATGTTGCGATAACGTCGATGACGTGTGCGTTGCCGTTGGACTCGGCATACTGACAGAAACTTGAAAGGCGTATCCTTGTTCGTTTGCTTGTACTTCGATTTTGTAGCCTGGTGGGAGAAATGTATTGAAACCAACGATAAGTTCGGGATGTCCTTTGAATAGATGGCTCACTCGGGTAATAACACCTGGCGTATCTATACTTTGAGACTTGAATTCTTTCATAATATCTAAGAAATCATTGTACACCTGTAAAAAAAATAAAAAAATATATATCAACATAAAAATAAAACACACAAGTACGCATTTCTCTGAAGTTTCGTTTTCCTTGTCTATATCTTCTTGATAAATCGAGCTAGACGTTCTTAGAAATTTTCATTATTCACCTGTGGTTGATCGCTGAATTTGTATTTCACTTGATCGAGATAAGATAACGCATCTTCAACCTTTAATCTCTGAAATTGTTGGGAACCACTTCCTCCACTCAATGTGGGGCCGCCAGGTGGAGTAGAAGCCAATGGTGTTACATTGCCAGAATGAACCTAAATATAATTTATTATCTTTTAACAAAGTTTTTTCATAATTTTTAGAGTCATCAAGAAACTACATTTAATAAATATTTGTCAAGAAAAAAATTCAGACGTTTGCAAACCTTATGTCTAATTGTTGATTGCTGTTGAGTGTGGACCTGATTTTGTGATCCTGATGTAGGTTGTTGAGAAGCCATTGTATGACTACCACTACCACCTATACCACTGTGCAGACCGCCGCTGGTACTTAAATTACTACTACTGCATGTAGAACTTAGTCCTCCCCCAGAGCCAGTAGCTTGCTGAAAATACAATTCAGAAGTAGATACATTTAGACAGATTGCAATATTGTGATATTACTTTATTATTATTTCTCTACAAAGATGTGGCAACTTACTTTGATGGGAGAAGGTGCTGCAGTCGGCACAACAATCGCACCAGTGTATTGTTGCTGAGCCTGGGCAGTACCAAATTGTATGCTTCCTGGCATCTCTTTTGAAGTAACAGATCGAACTGCTTGACCAGGTACAACCACACCAATACCACCACTGGTTGTGTGATACTCTAGGCTACCTCCTCCACCACCCAAGCCACTTCCCGCACTCACTGATGAGTGCTTTGCTGGTGGTGTTGCTACGTCTTCCAGTCCACGAACACGTTTCATTGCAAATTACATTAGACACGCTAAAATCACATAATAAAGCATTCTTATATAGATTCGTCCCTTTCTTTTCTTACGGTGAGAAATTTGTAATTGAAAATTATCTAACATCAACCAAACAAAAGAAATAATTTCACTGTACTCAACTGTATGATGCAACATATGTATATTGATGCAATATATATGTTATTAAATACTTAATTCACACACACATACACATATGAAATTCTTTTCCGTTGCAATATATAATCTTTTGAATACTCTGCTTGTGTAAACAAATTTATTTTTAGTGCGCTAATCTATATTTCATACAAGATATATATTGTGACAACAGAAACTTATAAATGCACATTTGTATATTTTCTGCAAATCATTTTTTTATTTAAAAATTACAAGCAAGCTTGGGAGTCAGAAGTCTAAAAAATTGTTTATGTACATACGCACTAGCAATATAATTTTCAATAAGTTATCGGTCACAAGTAACAAAAGTTTATTTATCCTATCTAAATCTTGCTTGCAGTCTTCAAAACCACACTTTGAAAAAAAAAAAAAAATATATATTGTCTCTCTCTCTCTCTCTCTCTCTCAAGTCTTATCTTCAATATTGTTTCAATATTATCATTGATATTCTTGAAAAATGCTCATCAGATGCGTGACATCGGATTTCTTTCTATTTACCTTCGCAACAATTAAAAATTTTTTTTTACGACACTACAAAGGACAGGTTCTGCACATATAAACCCTCCGCGTTCTTTTTGCAGCAAAAAAGAAAACGTGTGAGAAATGTGTGCGTGAGAAAATTAGCGTCCAAGTTAGGTTATGTGAGAAGTCGCACGAAAAAATATTAAAATAAATTTCAAAGCGCGAACACTTTGATCGCGATCGACGTTTGATCCGTTGTGACACGGTGTGAAAAATTTTGCTCCAACACAGCCACGAAAAACAGACGTAAAGAAGATAATTCAAAATCGACGACACTTGGCGATCGAAAAAAAAAAAAAAAAAAAAAAAAAGAAAAAAGGAAGAGCACGGAAGTTCGTTTCCTCGCGTGGTTTCCAACCCGGAGCAACGCGCGAGCTTTGAGACACGTTACGAAAATAAATTATAAAACTTGTCCTAGCTTTACGGGAGGGACGCGATCGAACGTCGTCGCGTTGTCGGATTCTCTCGACGACGTGACCTTGCACGAAAAACTCGCGTCGTACACAGAAGCAAGTAGAAGAAAACGCTCCGGAGAAAACGCTTGGGTGAACGTGTTTCGGACATTTGTAGATAAATCTCTCGCATGTGGTCTCTCCTCTCTTTCTCTCTCTCTTTCTTTCTATCTCTCTCTCTCTCTCTCTCACTCTCTCCCCTCTCTCTGCCTATCTTTCCTTACTCGCTCTCTTGTCCATCTGTTTCTCTCTTTTTCCTCGTATACGTACCAATTTCCATCTGAGAAGATGTTTCGCGTCCCCGTCTTCCACGTAGTCTTCCCGTCGCCGCGGCGTGACGAGACGAGGAGAGGTTCTATATGTACAAGAAGCGCGCGCGGTAAACGGAGTTGGTGGTGTAGTAGCGTATAGCTCGAGATCGGGACACGTCCTCCTCTTGGTTGTGCTTGCGCGCGGAGTTGTGTGCACTGGCGTCGCCGTCTCTCCTAAGAGAGAGAGAGCTCCCCCGAAATTTTCGATCGCGTCGGCGGCGGCGGCGGCGGCGGCGGCGGTGGCGGCGGCAACGACAGCGGCCGGGTTGGTTGGATTCCCGCTGCGATGTGCTGCTGCACGCGCGAAAACTTTTGCGCCGGGTACGACGAGTAGTCAACACGCACGCACGCACGCACGCACACGCACACGCACACGCACACGCACACACACACACGCACAACCCCGTATATTATAAAAAATACTCTTTTATATCGTGTGCGCGATATAAAACACGACGTACCTTCCCGTCCCGTCCCCGTTGCCTTGGCGGCACCCGACTCGCTCCGCACCGAGTCTAGAGAGACGTCGCGAACGTCGTGTGCGATATATAAAAGCAAAAGGTAATATATACACGCACACACCGCGGCGGTTTGTGTCAGTGCCGCGCTCGCTCGCTCGCTCGCTCGCGCGCGCACACGCGAGTTTTTCCAAACACACTCTTAGCCGGCCCCTCGCGCGTTACGCAATGTTCTACGTAAATACATAACGCATTCCCCCGGAGCGGGCTCTCCCCGAGCGGCGAATGTTACAAACGCAAACCGTGTACACACGTATCTTGAATACACCGCGTGTCGGTCACTTCCTCCTCCCGCGAAGCGCCAAAAAGATATATAATGCACCTTCCACACGGACGCGCACACCCTCGGCGCGTCTCTCTCTCTGAGAAACAACACCACACAGTTTCTTCCCTCACGGTTGAGCTCCTCGACGACGTATAATCGACCCTTACACCACAAAAGCTCTCTTTCTCTTTTTCTGTCTCTCTTTCTTTCTCTCTCTCTCTCTCTCTCTCTCTTCTCTCTCCCTCTCCACTTCTCTTCTATCTATCTCTCTCTGTTCCTCTTCCGCTCGCGTCCGCGCGCTCGCGCTCTGTTCACATATATATACGCAACACAACTCACTCACTCACACACACACACACACCCGCGCACTGTCTCTTTCTCTCTTTCTCCTCCTACTGTTCTCTTTCGCACTTTCTCACTCTCTTTCTCTTCATACACTGCTCTATGAGTCCTCCTCCTCCCTCCCTCTCTCTCTCTCTCTCTCTCTTCGTCTCTCCGATCTCCCTTGCGATTTCTGTGTGCGTTCTGCGCCTCTCTCTCTCTCTCTCTCTCTGTCTTCCTTTCTCTTGCTCGGCTCTCGTTGTTTTTTTTTCTCTTCACGACCGAAAAATCGACAAAGGCCTTAACGGGCCGGTCGGTCCGGTTGGCCCCGTAGGCAGGCTTGGAATTCGCACTGTGTGATTTCCCTCGGCGGTGTGTAAGCCCGCGAATATAACGCGCGACGTATAGAGACGTGTTAGGAATCACCACTTCTCAGACGCAACGACGGAATCTCGTCGTGTGGGTAAACAAACGTGAGAGAATGCGCATCTTTCGCGCGATCCGCACGGGATCCGCATCACAAGAAAGTTTGGAAATTATTTCGACGCGATTCGCCGCGCTTTTTATCAGCGTAATACGCGTACGCGTGTGTGAAATCGACGAACGTCCGCACAACCGCGCTCCGCCACTGCTACGAGGCAAACTATTGGATTTTGTGATGGCAAACAAGGAACCGCCGACTGGTCGTCGTCGTCGCTGCTGCTGCTGCTGGTGCTGGTGCTGGTGGTGCTGCTGCTGCTGCTGCTGCTCGCGTAGCGGGACGTGCGTGGTGGGGAGGGGAGAGGCATTGCGCAGGAGCGTATTGGCGCGACCAGCGGCGTCTCTGTTACCAACCACTCGGGTGCTGCCGGCTAGCGCCGCCTCCCACGACGCCATCCGCGGACGTGAAACGAGCGAGCGAGCGAGCGAGCGACGCGCGGCGCAGCGGCGGCGGCGACGACGACGACGACTTCTCTCCGCTCCTCTCTGCCAGAGGGAATCACGCCAAAAATCCGTCCGTCGTTCTCTCGTCGCGGAAGCCGCGCGCGTCGCGATTTCCGCGTCTCGTCGTCGTCGTCTCACCTGCGAGCGATACGCGAAAATATAATAATAAATATATAATATTTAAAATGTTATATACGTGGAGTATGATGATGATGTTTTTTCGCAGAGAAGCGGAGCGCGTGTAGTAAAAAAAACACCTCGGACGCAACTCGAGCGAAACGTCTGATATATATTATAATGGGGGCTTCGATTCCAGAACCTCTGCCGGGAATTTAGCGAGCTATCACACAACTTCGTGCGTCGTCAAGTGTGCTATGTATACTTTTTATATTCGCGCTTCTGTGTGTTTGTGTGTGTGTGTGTGTGTGTGTGTGTAGCTTCGCGATGCGTCACACCACACGCCGTGTGTTCACGCGCGTGCGCGCGCGCGCGCTCTCTTATCGGGGAACGAGGGAGTTCCGATATCGTGCGCGATTCCGAGAGAAGTTTCTTCGGAATCTTCTGTGGCGCGATAATTTTTTTTTTTTTCATCGTGGAGGAACGAGATATAAATAAAAATATATATATAACAAAAAAAAACATATACATTTATATTTACACACATAAAATTTCCTTCGATTCCCATTATCTTACAAATTCAGAACGACGAATTTGTTGCTCTCACGCGTTAATCGTAAAATTGTGATTTCGTATTGGCCATTCTCGAATGGCTGTCGCGCGAACGGCTGATCGCACGTGTGTGTGTGCGCGCGCGCGCGCGCGCACAGGTGACGAGAAATTGTTCGCGCGACCACAATTTTTTTAATTTGCAAACAAATAATCTCGTCCAGATTTTTTTTTTCATCGATCTCAAATTTATCGCGGAATTTTTCGGACGCGCGTCTCAATCGAAACAAGACAAGTGGATTCTATCTTGCTTCTCGGGTTTGTTTGTTTTTTTTTTGTTTTTTATTTTTTTTTTTTTTTTTTATCTTGAATATTTTATCAGTTCTCGCTTGGATGAGCTTGGGGAGGGGTACCTGATGAGCGCCGGCGGTGCTTACGGTCCTGAGCCGCCAGGCCGCCAAGAAGCGGCGCGCGCAGCTCGGCCGAGTGTCCCCGAGTCGCCGCGACCGATATCCTCCTCCTCCTCGCGTAGCCAACAGCTGTTCCAAGAGACGAACGAACCCCCCATTGTAATCTGGGTCATGGGTACTGCGCAAAATGGCCCGTCGCCGCGACAATGGATCGCGCCGCACGAGGGTCGGGAAAGCGTCTTCGGCACGGCGATTTCGGGCGCAGCGCGCCTTTCGTCGGGCACCCTCGCCGCGACCCAGGAATTTCTACGTCGCGCACGTTGCATTTTTCGCCTAACGAGACACGGCCACGCACCACGACCGCTCGACGCGCTTTTGTCTCGTCCAATGTGGTTTGACTGTGGTCGTCGATCGGTGATAGTGGAGCCGCGCGTCGGGATTGGCCGTTTTGGGGGATATAGAGGACTCCGCAAGGCGCGACCGAGACTCGCGCCGCGAGAGCCTCGAATCTCGCAGCACCCCGAGTGTGACGTCGTTGCACCGCCGTTACACTCGCGCGCAAAATTAATCTCCGACGAGCAGCTCCGCTCGAAAAAGAGCGGAGGCGAATTGTTCGAGACTTGTTGTGTGCGACACAACATGCGGACGACGTGAATCTTTTGCAATTCTCGACGCGTTAAATTCGGAAAAACTCGGAAAAACACCGAAGGGAGCTACTACTGATTTATTTTTTCAACCATAAACGCTTTCCACGTGACGCGAACTCCACGTGGAATTTTTAACCTGCGAGATCGGTCGTGTGTGTTGGTTGGAAACGTTTGCGTTTTTTTTTGATTGAAATCTTGATCGATCACTCACGAATGTACGTATGCGTTTCGTGTTGTTATAAAAAAAGTATTATACAAAGATTTGTATCTCTCGTTATACTCGCTTCGCACGCAATTCCATTGCGATATAGCATCAGACCTCGTTAGCTTGTAGGTTTTAAGTGTATGTAAGAATACAAGAGTCTGTAATTTATATTTACCGACTCGCCCCAAAGACTTGAACCTGAATGTTTTTTTCACATGTCATTTTTATTGTTTTGATGATGAATTATTTGTACACACCTGTTTTACTTTGTATTGATTTGATCACTATCAGTAACAATTAATTATATTTACTAACTCATCCCAAAGACTTGAACCTGAATGTTTTTTCACATGTCATCTTTATTGTTTTGATGATGAATAATTTGTACACGCCTGTTTTTTACTTTGTATCGATTTGATCACTATCAGTAACAATTAATTATATTTACTAACTCATCTCAAAGTCTTGAACCTGAATGTTTTTTCACATGTCATCTTTATTGTTTTGATGATGAATAATTTGTACACACCTGTGTTTTACTTTGTATTGATTTGATCACTGTCAGTAACAATTAATTATATTTACTAATTTTAATTATATTTACTAACACATCTCCCAAAGACTTGAACTCGAACTTTGAATGTTTTTTCACATGTCATCTTTATTGTTTTGATGATGAATAATTTGTACACACCTGTTTTACTTTGTATTGATTTGATCACTCTCTCTCTCTCTGTCAGTAACAATTAATTATATTTACTAATTTTAATTATATTTACTAACTCATCCTAAAGACTTGAACCTGAATGTTTTTTTCACATGTCATCTTTATTGTTTTGATGATGAATAATTTGTACACACCTGTTTTACTTTGTATTGATTTGATCACTATCAGTAACAATTAATTATATTTACTAATTTTAATTATATTTACTAACTCATTCCATTTATACATGCCTGTTTTACTTTGTATTGATTTGACTATCAGTAATAATTATGTTTGTAAAAGTATATATATATATATTTGTTTGTTAACAGAATTGCAAAGATGATCAGAAATGTTGTTGTTGGTATATCTGGTGGTGTTGACAGCGCCGTCACAGCATATTTCCTTAAAAACAAAGGTAGAAATGAAATCTTTATTATTTTTTTTATTTTACTGATGCGTTGCGTGTTGCTAAAAAAAATTGTTTCTCTTTTCTTCAAGGATTTAACGTTACCGCAGTGTTTATGAGAAACTGGGATATCAAAGATGAAACGGGACACTGCGTGATACAGAAGGATTACGAGGATGCGCAATGGATTTGCGACAGGCTGAAAATTCCTTTGGCGCAAGTTGATTTTGTAAAGGAATATTGGAACGAAGTGTTTAGGTATTTAAATTTTTTTTCAAATATTGTTATTTTTCAACTTATTCGCGTAGGAACACAATTTTCATTTTTGATTAATTTCTCTCTCAGCGATCTTATAGAAAAGTATCAAAGCGGATACACACCGAATCCGGATGTTCTGTGCAACAAGACCATCAAGTTTGACAAATTTTTTGAGTTTGCGCGTAACAAGTTTCAAGCGGACGCGGTGGCAACGGGCCATTACGCCAGAACGAGTTTCGGATCTTATTTGGAAAACTACAGAGCAGATATCAGCGAGTATCCCGCGTGTTAAAGAAAATTGTTGTGCGAACAATTTAAATCTTCTGAAATACGATTAAATCGCAATCGTTGTATGCACTTCCACAGATGTTTGCTTGTTGAAAGCGCGCGATGAATCCAAGGATCAGACATTCTTTTTGAATCAAATACCGCAGCAAACCCTGAGACGTTGCATGTTTCCTCTCGGAGATTACTTGAAGACAAACGTGAAAAAGATAGCCAGTGAGATAGGTTTGCATCAGATAGCTCAGAAAAAAGAGAGCATGGGAATTTGTTTCGTGGGAGAACGTGAGTTTCCAGATTTTATTTCAGAGGTAAAAAAACAAAATCTCTATTATATTATGCGTTATATTAATAAGTTTTACACTTGAAGACCGTGGGAGAAAAAAAAACTAGAGAGTCACATTTTTGCAATTTTAGAGGAGATCGATTTTAAGATTCGCGAAATGTACATGTATTTTTTTGTTGCGTTTTGTAAAAATGCTTATATCGGAATTTATTAAGAATTTTCCCCTCTCTCGCTTTGGATAATTAAAATAAACTCCATTTCAACCAAATAACATCAAAAAACAGAAAATCGAAAAAAAAAAGAATTTATCAAGTTCTTCTCCTACGGCCCTCACTCTCGTGTGAGTTATCAATAATTTTTGCACTCTTGATCGTTTGTGTCAGCGTAATAATAATAATAGTAATAACAACAACTTTGGTACTTACAGTACATAAATGATAAACCTGGTGATTTCGTAGACGTGGACAGCGGTTTGACGGTGGATCGTCACCGTGGCATTCACAAATGGACAGTTGGACAAAGATGCAGAATTCCCGGTTCCAGCTTGCCTTATTTTGTATTCAACAAGGACGTGGAGAAAAATATCATATTTGTGGTGTGTGAACGAGAGAAAATTTAATCAAAAAAACAAACAAACAAGGGATTGATTAAAACAAAAATCGAAAAACTCAACAATTATATGTTTTTTTTTTTCCTGTACTTAGGTAGCCGGAACGAATCATCCGGGATTGTACAGCGACTTTTTGATAACGCGGGACGTTCACTGGATCAACGAGGAGCCGAGCGAATTGAAAAACAACAACGTGCTGAACTGTGACTTTCGCTTTCAACATAGAAACCCGTTGATTCCTTGCAGCGTGTTCAGGACATCTAACAATCGTTTGTTTATTCGTCTAAGCTCACCTCTGCGCGCACTTACAAAAGGCCAGGTAAGTTTGTAACACGTATATATTGGCGGAAAAGTTGTTTTTAAGCCTTTTTTTAAGCGACGTGTGTAGCGAAGCCGCAGCTTAAATTCCACGGGGGATAAAGACGCTACTCGCAAGATAGCAAAAGGATCATCCATCGGAATGGTGTTTATTTTTAATTTGATTGTGTTATTACAAAGAGAGAATATTAAATTTCTCAATTAAAACTAAAAAAAAAAAATATATAAAACTTTTCCGACAATTCAACACTCGTTCTCGCGTGTGGAAATGTGCGTTGAATTTGCATGTGTGTTAACTCTCGTGAATTTTTCAGTACGCTGTTTTATATTCCGGAAGCGAGTGTTTGGGCGGCTCGATGATATCGTACACGGGACCATCTTACTTTGCTCTCAATCGACAAAACCACATAGAAGCCACCGGTGACGATAATTTAGAAGTAGTTACAAGTGTGCGAAATGTTAATGTAAGTTTGTAAAATAAAAATATCTATTTTATTCAATTGAACGCAGTAAGTTTTATTGATATGTTACACATTTATATCAATATCAAACAATTTTACGGCGAGATATGCGGACGCAGGCTGTTTATAACAGCGATTAAAAAAAGAAAATTTAATATCCACCAAGCGCATCGCGTCTCATATTGAAAACGTTAATGTTGCAAATTACTTTAATTACTTTTTTTTTGTTTTTTCTTATTTACATGCATTTGCCGTATCAAAATTTATCTTCGTCGAAATTTTCGCGCTCGCGATATTAATTAATATATATTCACGAGTTTGCTTCTCATCTCTCGCGTCGCTGCGCAAGCGCGACGAAAAAGGTCGAGCTCGAGGTTTGAAACATCGTCGCTTCGATTTGCGCGCGTCCGATAAACCAAGTAATAATCGAACCATATAAAAATTGAACGCGCAGTCGAACGCTCCTTTCGATTTTTTTATTTATCGCTGCGTAGGTACTTTCTCTGATGCTCTTCGCGCTGCTACTCGTCGTCATGTGCGTAATCCAGTTCATAACCATAGACTGTTTTTAAATTTTGTAGGAGATCAAAGCAAAGTCTCTTGATGTGATTTTTGAGGAGAACGGTCACGCGAAAATGTAGAAGAGAGAGATAGAAAAGGAGCAACAATTTAAGATTCGCAGCAGATTGGAGAAATCAGATCGCGGGACGTAATAAAATTTCGTCGATGCAAAATCCGATCGTAAAAAAAAAATATCACGACGATGCGTTTGTCGTTCGCAAGAGCGTTAATTGGATAAATGCCGTTTATATATATATATATACATATATATATTGTCCGAGATATACAACACACACACACGTCCGCACACACGGATTCTGGATAATAACGATGAAGGCCGCCGTGCCGCGGAAGATCGGCGCAAATGATTATTACAATAATAAATTTCGTTGGAACATTTTGCCCAACTACGACGATTATCCCATCGTCGAAGAAAACTACAATAGCGAGAGTGAGTGGGCGCCGCAAAATAGAATAGTCGCTCGAGAAGTCTAATAATTTTTTAGCATTTGTAAAAGATAGAAAAACAAAAAAAACGTCGCGTACACACATCCTGCGTGTTAACGACGACGACGACAACGTCAACGACGACGACATTATCGAATTATATCCTCGCAGAGATATTCGCGATATTATTATTTTTTTTTTTTTTGACTCGAGAAGTCAACGGAAGTCAACGGCGGGAAGACGCGGCGGGATGCGTGTGTGGTCATCACACGCTGCGACACACACGAGAGAGAGGAGATGGACTTAATAACGCGATGAGGGTCGCGTGTAGAATGTGAAATACGGCGTATCGTGTTATTGAACGATAAGTGCAAGTTATTAGGGTCGATTGACGAGTAACTCGACGTAAGGAGCGCGTAAAACGTTTCCCCCCGCATTGTGTGCGTGCGCGTACAAAGCCGCGTCTCTCCGTTTTGCTCCCGCGATTGGTGTCGCGCACCAGGGGCGACCTTACGTATGTAAATTAAATCCCCGACAAGTGTCGCTTTACCAGAGAGAGAGACAGAGAGAGAGATTCGTTCTCATATACGTGAGCGCGCGCTCGACTCACGTTCCATTAATATTTGCTCTTTGATCGGACGCGCGTAATCTTCATCATCATCATCCATCTCCATCGTTGATCCTCCGAACCAAATTCGACGCGCGCGCGCGCGCGCGTGTGTGTGTGTGTGTTTGTAACTTCGCAATCCGGTTTGCGCGTTCCGAGAGTAGTGCGGAGTAGCTTCGCGCTCGTCGAGTTTTTTTTTATTTTTCACAAAACTGCGCGCGGCACGCATTTTAAAGAGAAGAACGGTGCTCTCTCTCTCTATCTATCTCTTTCTCTCTCGGAAACTTCGCGGATTGCGTCGTGATATCGAGAAGTAAGTTGATAAGTCGACAGACTTTGTTGCATAAGAGAGCGACGACGAGTGAAGTAAGTTCTTTTTTTTTTTCTCTCTCTCCAAGAAAACAAAGTTATATTTTAGTTTTTTTTTTCCTCGTGGCAGGTGACGTAAATAATAATGGCCAAACGGTTTGGCGTTTAAGAAGGTGTCGCTAGAGAGATAATGATGTTGTATATGTAACATTTTTTTTTGCTCCTTGCAATTTTTCCAGAAAAGAAAATGCGAAGTAGCGGCAACTTGAATCAGTTCAATGATGACGACTTCTTCACCGGTGGACCGTGTCCGTCGTGTAGATTGGCTGTCAACAAAGAAACTGGCAGACTCAAGTGCGTGTTCAAGCTGTTTTTTCACCCTTGTCGCGTTTTTTTTTTTTTTTTCCACCACATTCTAAAACATATCTTATCTTTGCCGCGTGAATTTCTTGTTGTGTTTGCAAAACGGCAGGTGGTGCGACGGCGGAAGCGAGTCCCGGCGTTTTCGCGTCAAACTGATGCTTCTGATACCGACGGTTTTGCTGCCGATTACCATAATATTCATCGCTCTGTCCCGATTTCAAGCAACAACCGAGGTTTCCGGCTCGCACGCGCTTTCCGTCAACAAAAAAGGACAAAACAAAAATATCGAAGATGACCATTTTTCGCGTAAGTCGCTCGCACGCACACACACACACGCACACACGATACAGTTGCAAGTACAATAGCAGTTGACATGTTTTAATTTCTCTTTCTAATCGACTTCTTGTAATTTAAAAATTATCAGTCACCGGTCGTAACGACGTGGACGAGATTCCGCGTGCCGCAGAAAAAATCGAAGACGAGGACGACCGAGTGCTGTTTCCCGATATAAAGACGAGTTACGTGCCCGCGAACGTGCCCCATCGCTCGCCCCAGCGCCGCAAGAGAGACACCGACCACGACGGGGTACTTTTATCTCCAAGCAAATTCAAAACGTTTCAAAATTTGATTTTCTAATATTCCACCTGTGTCTCATCTCTTTTTTCCTCTTTTTATTCGCATTCTCATCTTACGCTCGTTGTTTTTTTTTCTCTCTCTCTCTCTCTCTTTTCTCTCTTTCCCGCTCTTCACGTTTTCCCCGTCCATCTGTGTCTGCAATGCATTGTTCCGAACAAATGAGCGGCAAGGAAAACTCCGTGCCGCTGAAGACGACACACGATGTCCTTTTCCAGAAGAATAACACGACGAACGACGGTTTCGAATTGATGAATCGAGCGATATCGTCGTCGTCACACGCTCGTTTAGTTAACGGCCAATTGGCAGATTCCCCCTTCAGGGAGGAATCAGATAAGAAAAGCGATACGGCCGTAAAATCCCTTTCGGATAATGCGAACTACATCGACAGAACGAAGGTACATGAAAGTGTATAAATCCCGCTGCGCGTGACGCCAATCTGCAATTCCAAATTACACAAATATATATATATATATATATATATATACATTTGGAATATTATATATATATAATAAAAAACTAAACATATAAATTAGTTTAACAAATTGTCAGAAATTAATTGTTCGAAGAGCGCGATAAAAAAATTTTCTGTGACAAAAAATCCGTCCGAGAGATTTGCATAGTCGCGTCGGTTACATATGTTTATAATAAAGGAGATATTGTATATATCTTTTAACTGTGTGAATTTACTTGCGATAAAAATAATTGAAAAAAAGTCGCGACTGAACATTTTTTTCCGTTCTGCGAAAAAGAGCGAATTTATTTTATTTATTTGTCGCGTAAAATTGTTGACTCGAAACGCAACTCAACTTTAATCGTCATGAAATGTTGTACGCACGTATAGGTAAAGATCGACGACACGATCGACGAAACCGACGACGCGCAAGATCTCGACGAAGACCTAGAAGATAATAATTTCTTAGGCGATTACTATTCGGAAGTTGATATTGACGATACTTACGAAACTAGCGGAACGAGGGACCGTCAATATTCCGAGTCAGAAATTCTCCTTAAATCAATAAAATAACGCTCCGAGAGTATTATCCGGCTCTTGTTTTCTTATTACCTTCACATCCTTAGATATTTTAATTCGAATGTTTCAATCGTGATGAAAATTTTCCAATATTCCAGAAAGAGAGGAGAAGCAATGCCGTTTAACAACAAATACGAGGGCGTAGGTGTAGGGAAACGATTGAACGAAGATTCGGTGAGAACCAGGAAAGAAGACGCGGTCTCCGATTTTTTCGTCAACGAAACGTGGCTATCGGCGGGACGTGACGTGATGAAAGATGACGAAACCGATTTTCACGCGTTCTGGAACGGCGAAGGACAAGTTAGAAGTATCAGAAAGGCTCAAGGTACAAATAACGCTGTGAGAGAATAGAAAAAAAAAAAAAAAAAAAAAAAGAGAATAGAAGATTTCAAGTTTTCTTTAAATGTTCTTTGATAACTTTGTCGCGCGCACTGATATCAACTATCGAATTTTTAGCTCAGATAATGCTCAGATATATGGACGAGAGCGCGGATCCCTGCGTGGATTTCTATCAATACGCTTGCGGCAACTGGGCGAGACATAATCCCATTCCCAAGGACAAGGCCGGCTACGACACCTTTGAGATGCTCAGAGAATCGTTGGATTCTGTGCTGAGGGAGTTGCTGGAGGATCCCGTGCCGCGCGAAACGGACGCCGACGACGCAACGGCGAAGGCGAAGCATCTGTTTAAGAGCTGCATGAATTACGGTAAGGGTTTAAGATTTATACGACGCGATATTTCGGTCGCGCTCCGAGAAATCTCGCGACCTTCGGTTATTGTAGTAAGTCGTCAAACTTAACGCGCGAAAACCAAACAATGCGCGCTAGAGATCTTGGAGCGACGTATGGAACGACCGCTCGTCAAGCTTCTGGATCATTTCGGCGGATGGCCGATTCTGAGACCGGAATGGAATCCCAGAAGATTCGACTGGCTACTGCTGACCGCGCAGCTTCGACTTTACAACAACGACGTGTTGATTTCCGAATGGGTGGGTCCGGATATTAAAAACAGCGACACGTACGTGATACAGGTAAAAACGTCTTCTGGATTTTTTGTTTTTGTTTTTTTTCGCTGCAAAGACAAATGAAATATCATCGAAAGATCTCGTTTTTTTTTTTGACAGTTCGACCAAACGTCGCTTGGACTTCCCACGAGGGATTACTTTCTTCAACCGTCCAACGCGATCTATCTGGAAGCCTACAAGGATTATTTAATTAAAATCGCAACTTTACTGGGCGCTTCTCTGGACACCGCGACTCTACACGCCGAAGAAGTGATCGAATTCGAGACGAAGCTTGCGACGGTGCGTGACAAAACTCTTTCTCTTTCTTCCCCCTTCCGTCTCTCTCTCTCTCTCTCTCTCTTTTATTTACATTGTTCTCTCTGTGGATTGTCGAAATTATCGTTATGATGAATTTCCCCGCAGATAACATCGTCACCGGACGCGAGACGTAACTTCACGGAGCTCTATCAGCGAATGAGCGTGGGCGAGCTTAAGGCCCTCGTGCCGCAGATCAATTGGCGTCGTTATTTAACGATTGTGCTTGCTCGACCGGTCAATTTTTCGGAACCGGTTGTTATTTTCGCGTTGCAATACATTCAGGACTTGGTCGTTTTGCTATCGAAGACACAACCCAGGTACATTGATTGAATTTTTATATCATTTCTTTTCCTCCCGTTTTTTTTTGTTCTCCAGAAATACTTTAATAATTAAAATAATAGGGTATCTAATCCTAGTCATTGATAAAAAAAACTTTTCTATAACAAACCTGAAAGTCTCAGACCTTTATATAATAAATATTTCACCAAATATTATAAAAAAAACTTAACTAACTTTATCCAATATATTTAATCGTTATTAAAACTAATCATTAATTAATAATCATATATATGAAATACACACCAAAGCGTTACGATGAAATAATTTCACAGAACAGTGGCGAATTATCTTTTATGGAGGTTTGTGCGGCACAGAGTGAACAATCTGGACGATCGCTTCCAGGAAGTCAAGCAAAAGTTTTATTACATTCTGTTCGGCAGAGAACAGGCTCCGTCGCGATGGAAGACCTGCGTGACGCAAGTCAACTCCAATATGGGTATGGCGGTCGGGTCTATGTTCGTCAGAAAGTATTTCGACGAGAACAGTAAGAACGACGTGAGTGAGTTTAATTGTTTTTTGAAAGAAAACGCGCGTCGAGAGATTTTTTAACAAATCGAGATAAAAATATACATCTTTTCTGACATTTTTGTCGAACAAAAAAAAAAAAAAACAGACATTGTCAATGACTCGAGAGATACAGCGGTCGTTCAAGGAGCTGCTCAACCGAACCAGCTGGATCGACAACGAGACGAAGCGATTGGCGACCGAGAAGGTGAACGCCATGTCGCTGAGAATCGGTTATCCGGATTTCATCCTGCAGCCGGATCTGTTGAACGAGCATTACAAAGACGTAATTATTGTGTAAACAAAGACATCTTGGAATTTTATAAACACAAATGTAATGACTCGCTTCGAAGAGAATTTATTTTTTAATCAAACATATTAGGTTCTCGTTCGACCGGACAAGTATTTCGAAAACACGTTGAACATCTTGCAACATCTGACCAGAATTGAACAGAATCGTCTCGGCAACGCGGTCAACAAGACTCTGTGGAACACCGCCCCGGCGGTCGTGAACGCTTATTACAGCCGCAATAAAAATCAGATAAGTCAGTTCTCCTTCGTTAAAAAATAGCACGCGCGCGTATTCTTTAGCAACGCACTTGGCCGACGTTATCAACTCTCTCAACTCTTGCGTTCGAACTTCAATTTCAATTTTAGTGTTTCCGGCTGGCATACTGCAGCCCCCGTTTTATCACAGATTCTTCCCGCGGAGTTTGAACTTCGGCGGAATCGGCGTCGTGATCGGACACGAGATCACCCACGGTTTCGACGACAAGGGCAGACTGTTCGACAAAGGTGGAAATCTTCACAGATGGTGGAGGGACGAGGCGATCTACAGCTTTCACATGCGAGCGCAATGTCTCATCGGTGCGGAGAAATATTACAAAGCTTTTTTTGTATTCTCTCTCTTTGTGTGACGTAATATCACAACGTGTCAATCGATCCGAGCGCGCAATCCCGATTGATAATCCCGATCTTCTTTATCGCAGATCAATACGCACATTACACCGTGAAGGAAGTTGGAATGAAAATAGACGGCGTTAACACGCAAGGGGAGAACATAGCCGATAACGGCGGCATCAAACAAGCATTTCGAGTAATTTCCTTCGATTTCCTTTAATTCAAACCGAACGGTCAGGTTGCCGGTTAGCTTGTCGAGTTGTGAAAAACAAAAAAAAAAAAAAACAAAAAAATGAACGAATAATCTTCTTCTCCTCAGGCCTATGAGAAGTGGTTGCGCTCGAACGAGGGGGAGGACGAGACCTTACCTGGAATGAGCGCGACGGGCAAGCAATTGTTCTTCCTCAACTTCGCGCAAGTCTGGTGCGGCTCGATGCGTCCCGAGGCGATCAGAAATAAACTTAAGACAGCGGTACACTCGCCCGGTAAGTTTCGAGTGATCGGCACGCTTTCCAACTCGAAGGAGTTCGCTCAAGCGTTCAACTGTCCTCCCGGTTCTCCCATGAATCCCGCGAGCAAGTGCTCGGTGTGGTGACACGCAGCAGACGCACGCAATGTAGTTCCTCGTGCACATACACACACACACACACACACACACACACACGTGTCGCTTCTCGATTTATTATCCCCGATCGCAGTAATATAATTAGTTAGTAGTTCGTGATAAGAAACGAAACTCTCATGTTTAAAACGGACCTTTTTTAGCGTACGCTTCGCGCGCCTGAGATTTCTGTAACAGTTTAGCTCCATGTAACTTTGTAAAATAGGCGTAAGAAAACGCCGATGCGCTTTTGTAATATCATATTCCAAGAGATACGTAGAGAGCTTCGAAACCACATGTTTTGCAATAAATAATAAGAAAGAGAAATAGATGATTGTTTAGTTTTAATTCATAATCGCGCACAAGCACACGCACACACACACACACACACACACGTTACGTGAGATGACCTCACATCAAGAATTTATGTGTAAATAGGTGACATTTTTTATCAATCACAAAATTCTATTTTTACAATTTATTTACGTATTTATATACCATCGACAAATATATTAATCTGTAAGAACTGAAGGTTCCGAGAAGGGGAAAAAAAAAAACCAACAATACACATCGAATCCAAAAACCGATTAATACAGAGACAGGATGGTATGAGTAAATACAATTTCTTCCCTTAGATATAATTCACACACTGTGTTGTTGTTGTTGTTGTTTCGCTTTTTTGTTTTGTTTCTTACCCCCCTGTTCTCAATACCGTGTATAAAGTTTTGTTTTTTTTGTTTGTTTGTTTTGTTTTGTTTTAATTGTACGTGAGCTATCTATCTTATTATCGTCCATTTGTTCTCCCTCCTTTTTTCTTTTTTTTTTTTTTTAGAAAAATGCAAACGTTATCTTAAGAGTCGGAAAATAATGTGCGGATCACGGCGACGTTTTGTTTTTTTTTTTTTTTTTTTT